TAGATAATTGATTAAGTTTAATTGGTTGGCCACAGCCCTCTACTGGCTGCTGGAGAGTGCAGTCTTTGGGTTGGCAGTACTGAGGAAGGGAGGCCATGCAAGGGCCAGGGATACCAGTGCTGATGGGGCAGGGGAGATACAGCCGTGGGCGTAGGGGCTGTTCCTCTAACTGGAATGGAAGAAGTCAGAAATACGGGAATGCTTGGACTCCTTCCCACCTATGTCCCATTGCGAGAGATGTTGGTTGTGGGGCAAGGAAAAATTACCCATCTCCGACACTGGTGTTATAATGCCGGGTCTATCAACAATAAGATCGATGTATTCTGTGACTACCTCATGGAGTCTCAGGTAGACCTGTCTTGTGTGACTGAGACATTGGTGTGGGAAGGTAAAACTGTCACCATTGGTGTGGGAAGGTAAAACCAATCTTATCCCACCTGGGTTCTCAGTCTTTCACCAGTCTCGAACAAATGGGCATGGCATTGCTTATCCGTGAATTTTGTTCCTTCAGGTCACTTCCTGCCCCAACTATGTTGGGCATTGAATGTGTTGGCCTAGTGTGTGATGTCGGGGAGAATTTGGCTATCCGGCTGGTGTACCGACCGTCTAACACACCGGCAGATACCCTGTCTGGCCTATTAGATGCTATATTGGGTTGGGCATTGGAGTACCTCAGGCTTTTGGTCCTGGGAGACTTCACTGTCCATGCTGATGATGCAGCATCTTCTCAGGCTATGGGCCTAGTGTTGTCCATGGAGGCACTGGGACTCTCCCAGTTTATATCGACTCCCATGCATCAAGCAGGCCACATGCTGGATTTGATTTTTGGGATGGAGATAAATGTGGATCTGATGGCTACAGATGTAGTCCAATGGGACCACTTTGCACTGAAGGTCCGGCTGAACATACCGCGCCTCCCCTGTTTAGGTGGTGAGTGCATTTATGCTCGCCCGCGGAGCCAAATGGACCCATTGGATGAGCTGGTGGAGGACTGGGAACACCAGTTCTCCGAAGCCATTGATGAGATCACCCCCCGGCACCCTCTATACCCTCGTAGCAAAGAAGTACCTTGGTATACCTTGGAACTGCGGAGGATGAAGCGGGAGCTAAGACGGCTAGAGCGAAGGTGGCGGCGTGCTCGCAACGAAGCATCATGAACATCTTATAGGACACTTACGAAAGCCTATGAGGTGGCGGTGAAGGCTGCAAAGAAAGATTTCTACGCACCTCCATTGCGTCTGCAAACTCATGCCCAGCCCAGTTGTTTAGAATTATTCGGTCTATTACAACTCTGCTGCAGGGCAGACCAAACAGTAGGGAATTGGCTATTGGCTGTGAGGCGTTTGCGAGTTATTTCGCAGACAAGATGATGATGCTCCGCCATGACCTCCGGACCACAATTGAGGCAGTAAGGGAACCGGAAGCCCCTTGTCCGTCTTTGGGTCCAATATTGGACCACTTCAGGTGACTCTCCCGGGAGGAAGTCGACAGGATCCTGGCAGCTGTGGGACCCACTACCTGCCTCCTTCACCCATGCCCTTCCTGGCTAGTGAAAGCTTGCGGGTCCCTCTGGGGGAAATTATCAACTTGTCTCTGTCTACAGGGACTTTCCCACGGGCTCTGAAGGAGGCGGTAGTCCATCCGCTCCTGAAAAAAATCAACACTGGACCTAGGCTTGCCAAGTCCCCCCTGGGGGCGGGGAAACCCCCACCCCAGAGGCCCGTTCCCTGCCACCGGCAGATCGGGCCCCGGGGGGAACCCCACCCCCAAAGTACGCGACGTGCACGTCACCCGGAAGTGACGCGACCACGCTGGGCACGCTGGGGGCGGGGCCACGGTCATCCGAGGAAAACTCTATGGTTTTCCCTCAGATGGTCGTGGCCCCGCCCCCAGCATGCCCAGCGTGGTTGCGTCACTTCCGGGTGACGTGGATGCGGGGGGCGCGCGCTTCGGGAGTGAACCGGGAGTTCCCCGCTCCAGATGAATGTACGACTTGGCAACCCTAACTGGACCCTCTGGTCCTGGCCAACTACCTCCCAGTGTTGAACTTACCGTTCCTGGCCAAGGTGGTTAAGAAACTAACTGGAACGAATATGCCCACAGTTCTGAATATGATGCGAATTTACTTCCCAAAAATTTGCAGATCAGATACTTGGGTTTTCAACGCTTCATTATTCCATCTCTTTGGAATTAGTTAAATGCTTAGCAGGGCTTTAAAGTAGGGTTGTTTTTTTTAAGTGGTTGATTGATGTTTGCTTTTTTTTTAACATTGATTTGCTGGTTCATTTCAGCTGTACTTTAAATAGCATCATGTGGGAGGCTGATTGCTAGTGCTGCAGTTCAGAAATGACTATGAAGATGTGAACAGTTTCAAGGGAACATCCTGCATATAGAGGCCCCAGTCGAATGGTGTCATTTAAAGAGTCCCAATGAAGTCTGCATAGTAGCATACAGAGATTCAGGGCGATTCTGCATCTAACGTTCACTCCACATTTTCTCACCTGGGAGGAAAAAAGAGCAGCTCAAAACAACATTCAAATACTCTGGGCCAATGCCCTACTGACTAGAAAGACACTCCTGAACGGCCATAAAATGGCCATAAATCTATGCAGAAGATACCATAAAATCCAACGATCAAAGGAAGAAAAAGTGGCATAGAGTGTGGTAAAGGTAAAGGGTTTCCCTTGCTCGAAAGCCAGTCGAATCCGACTCTAGGGTTGCGGTGCTCATCTCCATTTCCAAGCCGAAGAGCCAGCGCTGCCCGAAGATGTTTCCGTGGTCATGTGGCCGGCATGACTAAACACCAAGGTGCACGGAACGCTGTGACCTTCCCACCGAAGTGGTACCCTATTTATCTACTTGCAATTTCTTGCTTTCGAACTGCTAGGTTGGCAGGAGCTGGAACTAGAGATGGGAGCTCACTCCGTCATGCGGCAACTTGGGTCTCGAACTACTGAACTACTGACCTTCCACAGCCTGCAGTTCAGCATCTTAACCACTTGAGCCACTGCAGCTCCAGTGTGTAGAGTGTGGAGGTTACCATAAAATCCGAAGATCAAAGGAAGTGAAAGCAGCCTGCAATGCAGAGGGGAATTTCTGCTCCAACCTGGGTTTGGTAAAACAACGGAGGGAAAAGCCAGTGCAGAATCAGCCACTGTAAACAAAAAAATCCTAAATATCCACCCAGGATCTTTCCACCCATAATTTAAACCCATTATTGCAAGAATTGATAAAGTGGTCACTTCTTATGAAAGGAAGAGCATTTAAGTTTTATTGTCTGAAAAATAAAGGCTGCAGTCACACAAACTAAATAATCAATTTTCAGGGCATTTTCCAACTGGATTTTACCATGTGAACTGGCAAAATCCAGTAGGAAATTGCACTGAAAGTGGATTGTTTAGTGTGTGTGACCGCAGCCTCAGTGTGAACTAGTGGATGAAACGTTGAGGCACTTTGGTGTGAGTTCAGCCGTCAGCTTCCTGGGTGGCCTTGTGCAGAACACCATGGGTCTCCCTCAGTCACATGACCATTATGACAGAGGAAAGCCACTAGGATGAGTTGCCACCTTTTAGTATGGAACCCTTGTACTATGAGCCACATTCACCTGAGGCCCCGAACATATTTAAGTGTAAGTTGAGCCCAGGATGCGGCAAGTTACAACCTTGAGCCGTGGGAGGGCATTTATAGATCTGGTCTCTGTGTCAACAAAAAGGTGGCCTCTTGTGGTTTCCCCACATAGAGACTGGAACTGTGAACTGGGACTCATTTGCTTATCTGTGGTCCTAGTCACACGTGCTGGAAAACGCAGGGGTGGGGGGGAGCGAGCCTATTTGTGCCGCAGTAATTTGACCCACCACTGCGTGATCAGACGCAGCGGCGGGTGAATCGGGGTTGTTTCTTTGCCGTGTGTTTCCAGCGCGCTCCATCGAGGGATCAGTGACGCAACCTGAGCGCGCTGGAGCGATCACACGGGAAACTCCGTCTGCGGCCCATTGCAACCAATGTTCCCTCTAAGCTGTGGAGTCTTGTGAGCAAAAATTCTACTTTCTGAGCTCCTGGCATTAAGGTTCTGAGCAAGCAGTTTGGCTGCTGCATAAGTTAGTTTGCTCTGGAGCCCTCCTTCCTGAGCTAAGACAAAGATGTGTGAGCCGGAGGCTAAAAAACTGTGAGCTAGCTCACACCAACTCAGCTTAGAGGGAACACTGATTGCAACCCATTTGAGACTGCATTTTCCCAGGTATTTGTCAACTCCACATCTTCGGCGGAGTGAGATGGGTTGCCGACGGGTGCAGGACGCTTGCCAGATGTTCCCGTGTGATGGCGCCATTAAAATCCGCCTGGCAGTCATGCCTCTCGCACGGCTACTTCTGCGTGTGATCGGGGCCTGTATATTTTAAACAGCTGTAACATCTTGTAACGGTGGCTCAAGTGGTTAAGACGCTGAACTGCAGGCTGTGGAAGGTCAGTCGTTCAGCAGTTTGAGACCCGAGTGTGCCGCATGACAGAGTGAGCTCCCGTCTCTAGTCCCAGCTCCTGCCGACCTAGCAGTTCGAAAGCAAGAAACTGCAAGTAGATAAATCGGTACCATTTTGGTGGGAAGGGAACAGCGTTCCGTGCGCCTTGGTGTTTAGTCATGGCGGCCACATGACCACGGAAACGTCTTCGGACAGCGCTGGCTCTTCGGCCTGGAAACGGAGAGGAGCACCGCAACCCTAGAGTCGGACTCGACTGGCTTTCGAGCAAGGGAACCTTTACCTTTAACATCTTTTACATGTTTCTTGTGAGGATGTCTATGAGAAGGATTGTGAAGCAATTTGCACCATTCAAGTGTGTCACAGTGATGATGGTTGAGAGGAAAGGGCAGCCTCCCAGGTATAGAATAGCCACACCTACCCACGAAGCCCCTCAAGGTGGGACTTTGAATTCCGACACAAGCCAAGGTGCACTCCTCATTTAGTTATGCAGCGATGATTGTATTTCCTTTCCCCACAATTCTGCAGGCATCCTCTGGAATCTGTCCTCCAGCGATACCCTCAAGGACCGCCTGGCCCGAGACACCCTGGAGCAGCTCACACAGCTAGTTTTGATCCCTCTGTCTGGCACAGGCAGCGCGGCTGTTATCCAGCAAAATCCCTCTGAGGCAGAAATCTTCTACAATTCTACTGGCTTCCTCAGGTACCGAGAAAGCTTCCCGTTACCTCTTCTAACTGAGGGGAATCTGTATTCTGTGATCATTGTATCTTGATGACATCTGTTCAAGAAGGCTGTGCCTAGTGGAATAATCCTGGGAAGTAGCAGGACTGTAAAAATGTGGGCACATCTCCCTTTCATATTTTACAAGCTGCTTGACAGGCCAAAGTAATGCATATTATCAGGCGGCAATAAAGTCCTGAGAGAATCATTCACTTACAGTCCTCTCTAATTGTCAATCTAGTATATTTTTACCCTGCTCTTCCTCTGAGGAGCTGAGAGTGATATACATGGTTCTCCCTGATCCATTGTATCTTGGTAATCCCGTGAGGATTAGGCTGAAAGTGACTGGCCCAAGGTGACCCAGGGAACTTCATGGCAGTGTGGCAATTAGAACATGGGCGTACTAAATCCTAGTCCAACACACTAACCACCAGGGCTATTTTTGGGCAGGAACGCACAGGAACGAAGTTCCGGCTGGCTCCCGAGTTGGCCACGCCCAGCAGGAACTCATTAGCATAATAGACCACATCCAACAGCAGGAACTCATTCAGATTGGCTACATTAGGGGTGTGTGGTCTAACATGCAAGGGAGTTCCTGCTACAAAAAAGGCCCTGGGTTTGGACAACAAACAAGGTAAACAGAATAAGAAGCAAAAGGTGGGAGTGGCTGGATGACCACACCTCTGGTAACATGGGTGTGTGGCCTAATATGCTAATGAGCTGTGCTATCAGGGGTGTGGCCTAATATGCTAAGGAGTTTCTGCTGTTGGGTGTGGCCTGTTATGCTAATGAGTTCCTGCTGGGGGTTTTCTACCAAAAAAGCCCTGCTAACCACTACAGTCTAGACCCCACTGGCTGTCCTTAGCACATCACTCATTTCTGTCTAAAGTCAGCAGCCCTGAACTGGAGCACATTTAAGACAGAATCAGGTGGGGAAAGAACCTATTAATGAGCACACTGCACAGGTTCAGTCAGGCTGTATGTGAGTGGTTCCTGCAGTTGGGAAAAGGGCTCTTCTACTGATGGGTATCATCCAAAGTGCAAATCCATCCTTCTTCTCTTTACATGACCCCGCTCGGGGGTTTTTTTGTAGAAAAAGCCCAGCAGGAGCTCATTAGCATAACAGGCCACACCCAACAGCTGAAACTCATTAGCATATTAGGCCACCCCCTGCCACCACAGCTCATTAGCATATTAGGCCGCAACCCTGTGTTGCCAAAAGTGTGGTCATCCAGCCACACCCACCTTTTGCTTCTTATTCTGTTTACCTTGTTTGTTGTCAAAACCCAGGGCTTTTTTTGTAGCAGGAACTCCTTTGCATGTTAGGCCACACACCCCTAATGTAGCCAATCCTAATGAGTTTCTGCTGTTGGGTGTGGCCTGTTATGCCAATGAGTTCCTGCTGGGTGAGGCCAACTCAGGAGCCAGCTGGAACTCCGTTCCTGTGCGTTCCTGCCCAAAAATAGCCCTGACCCCGCTGACAAAGAAGGCCTCACAGTTACTGTAGTCAAGATCATATTCTCTAAACCACCCCGGAAACAAGTTGCCTCTTTCGGTCTGAGAAACTTTAGGTGTTTACCTGCTTTCCACTTTCTAATTAGTGAAAGGGCACGCAAGCTAGTTTGGCTTGGCTTAAAGGTGTGACAGTAGAGGCTGGGGAAGGCTTGTTCCTTGTGCGTTGAGGGGAAATGGTTCCTTTGTGTTTCCCTTGTAGGAATCTCAGCTCTGCCAGCCAGCAGACGCGACAGAAGATGCGCGAGTGCCACGGGCTAGTGGACTCCATGGTCAATTATATTAACAACTCACTGGAAGTGGGGAAGTCCGAAGACAAGGTCAGCCTTCTCCTTGGCACCGAGTACAGTGCTTGGCCTGTATCTGCTGGGTTTTAGCAAGTGAAGAAGCTGGTCTGTAGACTCTGCCCAATGCTCTAATCTGAGGAACTCTAACCCAGACATTTCTGGTGCTCTAATCTGAGGAATTCTAACCCAGACATTTCTGGTGCCCGTTTCTGTTAGTTTGTTTTTAAGATGAAGGTACAAAAGAGATGGTCTTCTTGAAATATAACATAGGAAAGGCAAAACATGCGTGAAAAATTAAGATTCTCTGGATGTTACTTTCTGGACAAGCACTTGGGAGGGTTGTGGCATGCACGCTTTTTTTTGGAGAGGGGCACAAGGGACATCTTCCAGAGTCCAAACACAGGAGAAAACTTTCAGCATTACTTTTCTCAGCACAAGACACGTGTTGGGGAAGCACACCGAAGACATGGGACAGGCCATTTCACACATTATGTAGGGACAAATCCTAGTTGGCTGCCGGGTGTCTGTTCAACAGGCAGCGACAGCCAAGCATCCGTGTCTACATAGAAAACAAGTGTTTGATGCATTCACATTGTACATTTTTAGATGTACATTCAAAATATTCTCAGTGTGCTTCTAAAATGTCTTATATATAGGGTTGCCAAATGTAATTTGCTTACCAGTGGGGGAGCGTCTTCTCGCTCCGGGAGCCGGCCAGGGATGTGCGCAAAGCGTGCGAAGCGCGCGCGCACCGTCGGAACGTCACCGGACGTGACGCACGACGTAGCACGTTGGGGCCGTGGCCAAGATCGTCGAGGGGGAAACCATATGGTTTCCCCCTCGACGATCTTGGCCACGGCCCCAACGTGCTACGTCGTGCGTCACGTCCGGTGACGTTCCGACGGTGCGCGCGCGCTTCGCACGCTTTGCGCACATCCCTGGCCGGCTCCCGGAGCGAGAAGACGCTCCCCCACTGGTAAGCAAATTACATTTGGCAACCCTACTTATATAATGCCCTGACCTGAAGAGCCCAGGCAAGCCTGATGTTGTCAGATCTCGAAAGCTAAGCAGGGTTGACTCTGGCAAGTACTTGGGTGGGAGACCTTGTAATACCAGCAGTCAGGAGGTGTGGGGCAAGGTTTATTCAGCCACCTCTCTGAATATCTTCCAGGCCCCCAGTAGGGGTCAGTCAGCAGAGGTCGCCATGACTTCCAGGTGCGCACACACTCACACACATGCACACATTTTAAAAATACAAAAAAGTACCAAAAAATGGTCTTATATATGAAATTACCCTTATTACCATGTAGGTGATCAGATGCATTTTTATTTAGCTCTCCAGATATAAATTTAAAATATCCAGGAACCAGCGGGCAGCTGACATGTATATTAAGGAGACTTGCACCACAAGTGTCACCGTTACACACCTTTGGTTTGCTTTCTTCGCTATCTCCCAAGAATATGAGAGGTGGCTCTGAGAGTCTGTAACAACCCAGTTTCCAGACAGAGCAGTGATGGATATGTTTTCCTGCGTCTGGGCTGCCCAGGCTCTCTGCGGACTGAGAGATGCCGGGTTGAGTGAGCCATTTAGGATCGAGCTGCCAGAGCGTCTGGTTTTTTTTTTTTTAATCATTTCTAGTTCATCATTTCATGTCTGGCAGGAATGAAGTGTGAGTGTCTCCAGGCCATTGAAGCAACCTGAGTTCCCCATCTTGAATCTAGTGAGGATTGGTGTAAGTTGCCTTGAGCAAAAAAATTGGAAAGACAAAATAGAAATTATTAACTATATATATTAAAGTCATATTTACTTATTTAAAACTTTATATTTTGAGCGTTTCCAAATTTTTGTCCGAGGCAGCGTGCAGCAAAATTCAAATACAAAATAAAGTAATCATAAAATACCATTATTAAACTCCCCAAATGATATTCTTTTTATAATGCAATCCAGGTCATCCATTAAAAATCAGAAGAAAGCCCACAAAGCTTGCCTAAAGGGGAAAAAAGGAAATGCTTTGCAGTGGGAAACGCACTGTAAAAATGACGCTTATTTTTGAATTATGCTTGTTGCCCCTTGACAGAGTGTAGAAAACGCAGTCTGTGTCCTGCGCAATCTGTCCTACCGCCTGTATGACGAGATGCCGCCTTCCTCACTCCAGCGACTGGAAGGGCAAAGGAGGAATGACGGGGCAACCATGACAAGCGAGCTGGTGGGCTGCTTCAGCCCGCAGAGCAAGAAGGCCCGAGAGGTAAGGGCGGGACGAATGGCATTACGAGAAGGACTGGCAGGCAGCCATGACACCCATTTTGTAGGAGGAATAGGCAAAATGAGCCCACAAACAAGGCGATTTAGAAAACTGCATGGCTTGATTCGTGCCAGGCATCTGTTCCCAGCATCATGGCTCAAGCATGGAACATATAAAGAAAGAGCCAGACTAAAGTGCTCCTGGCCATATGCAGAGTGCACTTTTCCTCAGCATTAAGTAACTCCACACAGCAGGCATTTGGGGAAATTCTTGAGCCCAAGAACACACACACCCCTGAAATAAAGCCCCAGAAACTGTTTATCAGCTGCTAGACTGACCTCCCCAAGAAGACAGACTGTCGTCAGGAGGAGAGATGTAAGCGTCTCTTGGTGCTTTACCTTGATTGGTGAGAGTTAATAATAGGATGGAGGAGACAGTGATTCAGCTGGGTCTGGGAAAAGTAGGAAATGATACTTCAGAGATGGAGCCTCAGAGAATGTGTGTTGCATGGTATCTGTCGGGGTCCTTAGTCAGGTCACACAACACAGGGCTTCATAAGAAGATAACTGTTTATTGATAAGTCCAGTACTAAAGAACACGTATACAGCTTGTGTCAGGAATGGCCGCCAATACGAGGGCCTCTGACTTATACTAGAATCAAACATCCCCCCTCCCCCGTAAGCATGAGCCAATGAATACATCTCTCGCGCGGGCCAAGCAGGCAAGCAAGCAAAAACCATTAACTTTCCCAGCTGAGTAAAACTGCAGCTGGAGCATCTACAAGGTCAAGCATAAGATAGCGAACAGTCGGTGAGCCAGGGAGAGCTGAGACAGAAAAGGGGAGGGCACCCCTCCACATTCCAGACCCATGACAGGGCTACCTGACAGTATCTCTGGTTCCCCCCCTCCCTCCAGCTCTACGTGAACTCAGATATTGTGACCTTCACGGAAGTCTCTAAGGACCCCAAGGGGATGGAGTGGCTCTGGAACCCCCAGATCATAGGGGTCTATAACAGGCTGCTGCAGAGATGTGAGTTGAACAAGCACACCACGGAGGCCGCTTCTGGGGCGCTTCAGAACATCACGGCCGGAGACAGAAGGGTAAGACGGAGCGCACGGAACATAGTGCGGGGAGTGGGGGTAAGAGACCTAAACGTCTTTTCTGCAACTCACCTTGACTGGCTTCAATTAGACCTGAGCAGTGGCTGTTGTGAGAGGTTCACTGCTCTCCCTGCAAAAGATGTGGGGGAGAGGTCCGTAGAAGAGAAAAGAGGGAACAAAGCAACAAGCGAGGGGAGAGTTGCTTGCCCACGACTGGGCCTCCAAAGCCAAGCCTGACAGGGATGGAAAAGAAGAAAGTAGACTAGGAGGCCTGGAGAAGGGAAGAAATGGGTTGAGCCATCGGTTGCAGTCTCCAAATGTGTGGCATATTAACGCAGAGGTTTTGGGATGCTTTAGGAGTTGTTATTTTTTTTAGGACAAGCTCACCATCAGTCCTGTACCCCGCCATGACCAAATTTCCAACTCAAAAGAGAGGGGAGGTTCCTCTTACCCCCCTTAGACTTTTTGTGCTACAGAAACTTAGAAATGTGGCCAGCCAGCTTACAGAGGTATCTTAAAATGACCAGGGGTCATTTCGTAGAAAAAGAGGTGCAGGAGCTCATTAGCATAACTTATTTGCATATGCTACACCCTCTGACATTACCGGAAGTATGTCAGAAGGCAACACCCACCGCTCAGGCTCCACTGGACTGTTTTGGATTGCTAGCTGTTGGGGGGGGGGACATGCAGATCTGTCCTCGCAGAGGAGGGAGAGCTCGTACCTGAATAAAACTTGGTCTTGAAGGTGCCACTGGACTGCTTTGGACTGGGGGGGGGGCTCTGCGACTTACCTGGCTGCTTCTTGCTCTGACTGAGGGCTGCTGGGAGCAGGGGGTGGGGCTTGTTGCATGTGCCCGTCCCCTGGGCTCTTTACTGCTGGAGCTCCGCTCCTGTGCGCTCCTGCAGGAAGTGACCCCTCGTAAGCACTATGGGAATCCCATAAGCTGGACACTGATGTCTTGTCTTAGCTCCTTTTCCCTCATAATTGCAGTGGGCTGGTGTTCTCAGCAGAGTAGCTTTGGAACAAGAGAGGATCCTGAACCCGGTCCTGGACAGAGTCCGCACCGCTGACCATCACCAGCTACGTTCACTAACAGGGCTGATTCGCAACCTGTCCCGGAATGCTCGCAACAAGGATGAGATGTGTAAGTTGCATTCCAGTAGGGAAATAACAGCAAAAGCCACCTCTGCAGATCCTGGAGACCTCTGGGGGAGGAGCTGCCGTCCGGGCCAAATAAACGCTTTTGTTCTGCTGTCTACTGAGACTTCTGTAGCTCTGATCAGTGTTGTTTTTGATTGGCAGCAACCAAGGTGGTGAGCCACTTGATTGAGAAGCTCCCAGGGAGCCTCAGCGACAAGTGGCCCCCGACAGACGTCATTGTCAACATTATCGCAGTGCTGAACAACTTGGTTGTGGAAAGCCCCATCGCCGCACGTGACATTGTCTACTTCGATGGCCTGCGTAAACTTTTCTTCATCAAGAAGAGGAGGGACAGGTAGGAATTTCCAGGCATTTCCTTCCCCAGCTCCCATTTTCTGGGCACCCTAGCCGAATTTCCATGAGTGCAGATTTAGAACCTGTTCTTAGGTCACCTGTCATCCAAGCCCAGGGCTATTTTGGGGCAGCAACACACAGGAATGGAGTTCCGGCTGGCTTCAGAGTTGGCCACGCCCACTACAGCTGGTGACAGAGGGAAGGCCTGGAGAGCGACCCCCCCCCAGCGACTACAAGGCGGGCCCTGGAAGGATCGGGGAGGAATTTAAATGCCTCCCCGTGCCTTCCCTGGCCTGTCCAAGGGCCGGCTTGCCCGGGCAAGCCAAGGGAAGGCATGGGGGGATGGCCTGGTATGTTAATGAGCTGCACGGTCAGGGGGGTGACCTAATATGCTAATGGATTTCTCCTGTTGGGTGTGGCCTATTATGCTAATGAGTTCCTGTTGGACTTTTTCTACAAAAAAAGCCCTGTCCACGCCTACTACATCGTCAATTGGATGCGAGAAATCTGGCCCATGCTCTGCATTCTGAAGCCTCTGTGGTTGGGCTTGGACACGTTAGAACCATGTAACTGTCAGACCCACTCCTGTCAAGGGACCAAGGTGCAGGGGCCGGATTTGCGGAGGAGGCAAGTTTCCCCCTGATATCCCTATCAGAGTGCAAGACTAACCTGGAAGGCTTTACTGTCAGATCTTATCACAAGGCTTATATAAAGGGTTTCTTTCAAACATGACAAGGTTTCTTGGCCAGTGTGCAGTTCCCCTCTGCGGCCAGAGCAGAAAGACTAAATCCCTCCCCGATTATCTCTCCGGTTCTAGACTTAGAACCCGATTTGTTTATCAGATGTCTTATGCTGTCTGGTTGAATTGTTGCTTATATTTTGTAATCCAACTTGAGTCTCAGTCAGAAAGGCAGGTGATCAATGGAACACTAAACAAAATCCTGACACGAATGAACATATGGTGAATTATCTCCAAGATCTCACAGAACATGTCACTCATCTGAAAGACATTACTGTTCTGGGAGAGCAGCGAGTGGCACTTTTGGTTTTGCACATCTTCTAATCACATAGCTCCGCTATCGCAACCAGAGGACGAGTCGGTCGAGCCGTCTGCCATTACAGAGGCCCAGGGCTCTAGTCGGGGGGGAGCTCTCAGGTACGGAGCTCCGGAAGAGAACCTCTAGGGGGCGGGGCGGTCACGTGGTGAAGCCCCGCCCCCTTCTTTACCCCGCCCTCTGCTTCGATCCTCATTCCGTTTGGGAATGAGGATGAAGCAGGAGGGTAAGTAGCCGGGCCTTCTGACACACTTCCGGTGATGTCAGGGGGTGTGGCCTTCTGTCACTTCCGGTGATGTCAGGGGGCGTGGCATATGCAAATAAGTTATGCTAATGAGTTATGCTAATGAGCTCCGGCAGCTCTTTTTCTACAACAAGACCCCTGCAGAGGCCCCTGCCCCGAGTCATCTTAATAAACATGTAATGAACAGACTGGCATAAAAGACGCTAGATATATTCAACCATCATGTCAATATATTATTGATCTCAAAATGTAACTAACATTATTGTGACAATAAATACAATAAATACATTCATGAAGTAATTGTGATTATCAAGATACATGAAGTTATTTTGATCGTTATAAAGTGATTGCTGACGAGAACCTCCAGACTGAGTTCCGTTTCGTCTCTTTGTCTGAACAAACCTTCAGTAAGGGTTTCAAACAGTCCTATTCTTTTCCTAGCTGCAATTTCTGCATGTCATACAAACATCTTCAAATAGTGTTAATCAGTCATTCATCTTCAGTATGCGCGTTACATCGGGCGTTTTAAACAACAACTGAAAGGTTGAAGACTCAAGTAATTCAACTTGAAGATGTTTGTATGACATGCTGAAATTGCAGCTAGGAAAATAATAGGACTGTTTGAAACCCTTACTGAAGGTTTGTTCAGACAAAGAGACGAAACGGAACTCAGTCCGGAGGTTCTCGTCAGGAATCACTTTATAACGCTCAAAATAACTTCATGTATCTTAATAATCACAATTGCTTCATGAATGTTTATTAATTGTATTTATTGTCACAATAATGTTATTTACAGTTACACTTTGAGATCAGTAATATCCTGACATGATGATTGAATATATCTCGCGTCTTTTATGCCAGTCTGTTCATTACATGTTTAGCCAGCTTTGGACTGGAGTCTCCACCCAAGTCATCTCAATGGCAGGAGTGGTTTTTGTGGCGCTGCAAAAACGCTGAACATGCTTCTGTGATTCATGCCCCTTTGTTAACAGAGAACCTTTTCATCCTGAGGAACAGCCCAGTCCTATTCATATTGACTCAGAATTAATGAGTTAGCTTTTACACCCAAGTAAACATGCACAGGATTGCAACGTCGCCCTTAGATTTTACTGATAGGGATATGAGGTATTTCATATCATACCCACTGGAGGAGCATGAAGGAGAAGGGTAATTGTTGGCACCTGTGGTCTGATCGGCCCTTGCAGTATATCAGCATATCTGCCTTTTTTTTCTCTAGCTCTGACAGTGAGAAGTCATCCAGAGCCGCTTCCAGCCTCCTGACCAACATGTGGCAGTACAACAAGCTCCATCGGGACTACAAGACGGTATGTCCCTTCCCCACCCACTCCTTCCTTCCAGTACCCCTCGGTTTCACACTGAGCTCTGAATTGGCTTGGCTCTCTCACACACAAAACCTTTATTGGCATGAAAGCACAAAAAAAACAGGTTGCTTACCAGTAACTGGTGATCTTCGAGTGGTCATCTGTGCATTCACACCAATGGGATCTAGTGCGCCTGCGCTGGATCGGCAGGCGCACTAGATCCCATTGGTGTGAAGCACAGAGACCACGAAGAAGATAAACAGGTTGCTTACCAGTAACTGGTGATCTTCGAGTGGTCGTCTGTGCATTCACACCAATGGGATCTAGTGCGCATGCGCTGGATCGGCAGATCCAGCGCAGGCGCACTAGATCCCATTGGTGTGAAGCACAGAGACCACGAAGAAGATAGGCTTGGTACTCATTGCGGAGAGGAAGCGCCTCCACACCCTACACTAAACAAGCTTGTATTACTCCCAGTTCTCCTTCTGATCCTGAAAGGCCCTATCAGTGTATTAGGGTGCATGTAATGCCATCTCCATCTGATTCCAGAGTTGGGTGATCAGTTATAAAGGGGTATCAGAGTTCTTTATAGAAGAGGACATTCCAGCTGGTGTACTGCATAAAATACAAAATAAAGCACGCATTTGCTGAAAGCTTCTCTTTTACACATTTGTTAACAGTACTTAAGGCCCATCATCCTTAGCATTTGGGCAGGCTAGTGTCAACTTTGCTAAGAGATGCTTTTGGGGCACATGTTGTACTTGTGGTTTAGCACTACAGCACTGAAGAGAAATGAAATGGATGTGTCCTGCGTTTGTTCACAGTAACCCTGGGGGTTGCCGTTTTAACCATCACCAGGGATGGACCCTAGAGCCTACTGAGCTAAAATAGCGGAGTGGTCTGCAATTCTCGTTCAAGTGTCAGGCTCTGTAACTAAGATATGAGAAATGTGTACCACTTATTTTAAGTGACTCCCCTTATTTTAAATGCTTGGCCTTCATTTCACTGCTTAAGGGCACGCTAGCCCTGACTTTGATAGCCACACAGGTGTTTTTTGGACCTTAATTGGAAGATGTTCTAACACAGCAACTGTGCATTTGGCATCAGACACATGACTTTCACCTTTTGAGGCCTCACAAGCAACTTTGTCATGTGTCTTTAGATCTTGCTGCTTAACCTTCCTCTTCCTGGTTCAATATTCACGTATTGGTTATCTTATTGCAATATGTATTTAAGTTTTGTGTACCTCAATATTGTTTTGACCTCTGAAGAAGGCCCCAATAGGGAAGAAACGTCATGTGCAGTGTTCCCTCTAAGCTGAGTTAGGGTGAGCTGGCTCACAGTTTTTTAGCCTCCAGCTCACACATTTTTGTCTTAGCTCAGGAAGGATGGGGCTCCAGAGCAAACTCATTTATGCAGTAGCCAAATTGCTCCCTCACAACTTTAATGGCAGCAGCTCACCAAGTAGAATTTTTGCTCACAAGACTCCACAGCTTAGAGGGAACATTGGTCATGTGTACTGGCCCTTGTGTTTAGGCTATACTTTTTTACGAGGCTTTCATTGGGCCCTTATGTATGTTTTTAACTGTCTTTCTAATAAATACTTGTATTTTTGTATATTATAAGGTTTAACTAGGTTTTTTATACTGGCCCTTCATTAGACTTTCTCCTCACCCTTTTGGTTCTTGATTCCAGTTTTTGGGTCAGGTTTGTTTTCCCCTCCCTGCACCGGCGTAATCTGCGGGGGGGCGGGGGGTCGTCAGCCCCCACCGAAATTTCTATCAAGGGTCTAAGCCCCCCCCGGGCAACCAGTTCCTCGAGCCAGCCTTGCTCGCTCCCGAGTCCCAGCTGCCTCCCCCACCTTTGAAAGTGGAGGGTTTTTCGTAATCCTGCTTTGCTTTGCTGACTGAGTTCACCGGATGACTGGGAGGGAGGGAAGTCAGGGGGCGGGGGCTTGCTTCCAGGCTAAGCTCCACCCCCGGGCCCCAGCTCCTTCCGCTCCCAGCAGCCCTCAGTTGTAAAGTATTGGAGGCGCGGGAGAGCTGCACAGCCTACACGCACGTGGCTGTTTTTCTACCCGCCCGCCTGCCTGCCTGCCTGTGAACGCACGCAGGCACACACACAGAAGAGAGAAAGGTTAGTGCACTGAAACTGTGCCTGCTAGACGCGACGGGTGTTGGGGGGGGGCGCTCACGAACGATCCCCCCCCCCCCCGCAGCTCTCCCCAGGCCCTCCCAAGCCTCCAAGTTACGGCCACCCCAGCTGCTGTCCTGCCTGCCATCAGAGCCGGAGGGAGGGGAAAGATGCCTGCAGTTTGCGCAGCGGCTAGTTCCCGGCCGGGGGCAGCGCCTTACCCGGGTGGCGGCCACACAGCCCGCCCCGGAGCCCGACGGGGAAGAGAGCCGAGCTGGCACTCGCGAGGCCGCCTCCCCGGGCAGGGAGAAGCCGGCCCAGCAGCAGGCCGCGGCGGACTCTGCCGGAGGGAGTGAGTGAGTCTTGGGAAAGGCCCCAGGAGCAGGGAAATTGCCGTTTCTCCCGGCGACCTCCCAAAGGAGTGAGTCCACAGTCTGACGGGGCATCCTGTTGCGCAGACAAGCAACGTCCAAGCCGGACCCAAAACGTTCAGCCCTTTCCCAAAGAGACTTCTGGCTCTTCCGCTCTTTGCCGCCGCCGCCTCCCCCACTTTCCTTTCTCTTGCACCGGAGACTTCTTTGGAGATAAAAACTTCTACCCCCCACCCCAAACCGCTGCCACATCGGATGGAGTTTCAGGTGCAGCAGTAAGCCCTTTATTCACTAAGCAGGAATAGCTACGATCCCCAGACTTCATCCGAACGATACGATGAGCAGGAACCACGGGGGGGGGG